GTCTCTAGTCTTGCTCTTTCTATATACAACCTATCTTACCCTGGATTGATTCCTGGTACCACATGGCACCCTCCCCCACCCCACTTCAGCATCACTATGTGCAGAAGTGGAGGTCCTTGAGCACCAGAGGGTGACCCTGCAGGCTCCCAGCAATGCTAGTTATGACCTGGGTATTTCTGGCGCTGCAGTCCCAGAGCAGCATCTAATTCTCCAAAGTATTATGCACTGAACCAAGGACTTAGAAAACTCCGGGTTGGATCTTCAGACTCACTTTTCATGGTTTGGGAACCTCCTACCTCCCCCCAAAACATATTTAGATGCAAAGTAAAATTCACATACCCTAAGTCAACAACTCTTGGCTTATCACTCAGGAGTCTTGTCAGGCAGGGAAAAATTATATATTCTTCTTCTCTCAAGTTTATTGATTGCAGTCTGTGAATTAAACTGACAGAAGCCAGATGAACAAGAGAAAGGTTTTATTTCATATGCATCTGGAATGCCATAACAGAGAATAAATACCAACCTTAGCCCCCAAATAATAATAAAGTGAAGTCTGGATGTTTAAATACCATTTTTAACAAAGGCCATATATTTTAGGAAGTGTCAAAGGAAAAGGGGCTGGTCTTTTAGAGATACGAAAGCAAATGTATGGGGAAAAGTTATGAAAAAAACAGAAGTTCTTCTAACATTTGCTCGCTGTCCCCAGTATCCCCAGTAATAAGGTTGTTCTCATCTTCCTGTAGGATAAAAGAAGAGAAACACATTCACAAAGGAGCATTTGGATGTGGTATTTAGGCAGATGGGGGAGGCAAAGGGTTCTTTCTGTGTTTGGGCTTCTCAATTTAATTACCTTAAACTCAAAATAATCCTTATACTAAAGTATCAGATTTTGGGTGGCATACTCTGGTCCTCTTCCATCTCCAGGTCAGTTTAGTGGTTCTGTTGACCTGGCTGGACTCCATCATTCTGGACTGTGCTCACTCATCTGATGAGTTGACTGGAGCTGAACGGGGGAAGCATTGGCATGCCCTGTGTTTTACCCACTTAAATGCAGCGCTGAGTTTCACTGGGCTGTGCTATCACTCAGCACCCTGGGCTGCTTCCTAGAACAGTAGCAGGGGCTCCTGAAGTGACAGAGGAAGTATGGGAAGTGTTTTGAGGTTTAATCTTAAAAGCAGTACATTTACTTCTGCTGTGTTCTGGGGGCCAAAGTTACCGGGTAAGCCACGTTAGGAGGAAAACAGATCCTCTTCCTGACCTAGAGTGGCTGCCAAGTATTACAAGGGTGGGGAAGAACTTAAAACTGTAAACTGCTCACAGTCTGCTTCCAGCATTTCCAAAGCAGGATCCTTGCTTTCCTAATTCTGAGTTTTTGTTTAAGTTATATTCTCTACCTTAAAATTCAGTTCCTCTTCCATTTTTTTTTTGGTAGGAGTGGGGGGTAGTCAAAAAAATTCAGTCTTTCCAAAACAGTCCATCTCCAAAACTAATTTTGTTTATGAAGCTCCTCCCGATTCCCTTATTATTTTTCTTTCTATTTTTTTTCACTATATCTGGTGGTGACCAGAGGCTACAATTGTGCTCAGTGGTTATTCCCAGCAGTGCTCAAGGGACCATGTGGTGCTAGGGATAGAACCCTGGTCTCATACATGTACCACTTGAGTTCAGCCTGCTGAGCTAGCTCTCGGACCCTTTCCTGTTCCATTAATTACATCTTATTTCTCATTCTGAAGAGGTTGACATGCTGTCATGACTCTATGAAGTCAGCAGTGTTGAAATGTTTATGACCATAGCATAGTTGTATTCAATTGAAAACAATCTTTATCTTATCTTGGTATATAAAATTACTATGATTTAGAGTGATATTTTCTATTAAATTGAATCTGCTGTGATTTTTTCATTTACTTCTGCTGTTGAAGAAAGCTGACATTCTTATCTACCTATATAGCTTTATAGAAAACTTACTCAGTATATGATTATCCTAACTATTACTCTCAAGTTCAGCTTTAATTCCTGTGGCCCAACATGCACTTTTCCAAATTATTTTTGCTTTTACTGTCTAGTATTTTAGAAGAGCTTAAATTTACCTTTATACTTAATGGCTTAGAAAATGAAGATGGTGCTGGGTTTGGACTTGATAACTGTGATTTCTGGCTCTGATACTGTTATTTTAAATATTTGTTGGAAAACCAGGAAAACATTTTTGGCTTATTGGCTTACTGCATTGCTACTAAATTCAACTTGAGTCCCATGGTGCAAGGCAACCCCACATTATCTTGTGTGATATAATGCCTTAAGTCAGTTTTTCTAGCACACTGGAAAACAGATGGGGTTCTGAACATAGGTCAGTTGTAGCCTATGTTCCAATTTAAATGTGCCAGTCTGATATTTATTATTAACTTTTAAAACACATGTTTATGAGAGTTTGGATAAATTTTATTCTGTAGTGGTAAGGGGGAAAATACATAGCAGTATATATTAATTTTTTTATAATGGTATTGCAAGATGATTAAAATATTTTGAGGTGGAGTGAATATTCAACTCTGGTGCTGTCTCTTACTGAAACGAAGAAAGCCAAAAACTCAGAAAGTTTAAAATCATTCACAACTCTTTGACAATCATGAGATTACTAATTATGTAAACAAAAAACAAAAATATCTGTTTTTTGGGGGGGCTTTTTGGGGTCACACCCGGATATGTACCGTGCTTACTCCTGGCTCAAGCACTCAGAAATTATTCCTGGCGGCGCTGGAGGACCATATGGGATACTGGGAATCGAACCCCGGTCGGCCGCATGCAAGGCCCTACCTGCTGTGCTATCGCTCCAGACCTGTTAACAAAAATATCTTAACAATAAGTGAACATTAAAATAAATTAAGTGTGGATTTTAGACTACACTTAATGAACATGCACATTCATTGAAGCTCGTTGGATATGCAAGTTCTTATGCTTCATTTAAGACCCGCTAAATGATAATCTGTTATTTCACAAGTTTCCAGATTATTCCTACAAGCATTAAAACTGTGAAAACCCGTGACTTTAGGCTCTTCCAAGTTTGTGGAGTCAACTCCTTATCGATAACTTTTCCATTTAAAATAATCTCTGGCTAAATGTTTGTCTTACACAGCCTCACTCAGGGAGAATTGAATTCTATCTCCTAAAGTTTCAGGAGCTCTGTTTTGGGGCTCATGACTTTGGGTGGCTGGGACAATGTGTTTTGTGTTCAATGCCACAGAAGACGGGATTTAGGAGGATTTGTAGACTGTTGGAAATAAATGAACAGACAAAATGAATGCAACCTGCGAAACAACCAACGAATAAAATCGCAGGTACAGAAAAAGCTTGAACAGATGAAACTAGAAATCCTTTTACAAAGCTTGTCTACTTTGTTCTGGCTTTGACGTTGCGACCCCCTCCAATGCTCTCTGCGCGGAGAGTCCACACCTGGAGGAGCCTGGGGCAGAGCCGCGCGGGCCCCGCCCTCCAGCTCGGCCTCCGGCTCGGTTTGTCCCCGCGCAGCTCCCATAAAAGGCGGCCCCGCCCCTCCCGGGAAGCGCGGGCGCCGCGGCCCGAAAGCGCTCGCGGCTACTGCGCATGCCCAGCTCCTTCTTTCGGGCGCTGGGGTTTTACCTGCTTCCTGGTGGTCAAATCTGCACTCAGCTCCTTGCCATCAAGAGAGGATCCACCCAGGGTTTTGAGGCCTTTTGACACAAAGGGGGATTGAGTCTATGTTAGCCAACGTGGGGCTCTAGGGAAGGTGGTGAATTTTTTTTTTGTTTATTTTTAAGGGCGTCATCTGTTTGCAGACACTGTCTCAAATGCATTAATCGGATCCATTACATTGTTTCTGACTTGCGATTAGGGCAAAATTTCCAAGGCATGGAGCAATGCTGACCGGAGGATCCTTAAAATAGCTGTTAGATCTAGGCTCAGTGCTGGAGGCCAGGCCCGGCTCCCTGGGCCCTGTTCTCCAGCGAGACTGCCCACAGACCTGTCCCTAACCCTCTGGAGAAAGGGCAGTAGCCTGCCAGTGGGTCAGTGCCCAGAAGACAGGCAGGGTGAGAGGACTCTCCTGGAGGGGGAACAGGAGTGAAGGTAGAGCATCTCTTTGTGGCCCTGTTAGGACAGAAGGGACTGAGTTTTCGTTGAGGTCCTAGTCCCAGCGATATACCCGAGGGCAGGGAATGGATTTTGGGGGGCTGCTGATTCTCACTTGTCAGTTTTAGGACCCCAAGTGCTGTCAGTGGTAGGAAGGAGGGGAGGCCACGCTGTTGGCCCCCAGGGGCGCCCTGGGGCTCTGAATGGTGTTCCAGCAGGAAGTCAGTGCTGGTTGGTGTCTGGGTCAATGCCACTCGTAGTTGCCATGTGGCTTCCCGGTGGGCTCCTGGCCTTGAGTGCTGGGACACACAGACGAGTGCATGCTTGACGAAATGCATTTACACGGGAGGCGCGGTGGGGCCTTCTACTGCAGACCCTAAGCCTTAAAAAATTAGGGCCGTGCTCATCCCCACTCCCCCACGAAACTCTTCAGCTCTACGTGCACAACAAGGGGATGGATCCAGATCTAATTTCAGCCCACCCAGTCACATTCTGTCCTGCTCCGAAACATCATCTCCATTTCCGTTTCTCGTTAGCCGTGAGCGGAGAGGCCCGCCTGGACCTCACGCACGGTCAGACGCCCCCGAGAGCAGCCCAGGGACCACTGAAGTGGACACGACTCCCGGGGAGACGCGTTCCGGGCGTGGGTTCCTGGCGCCGCGGTACCGGGCGCTCGGTCCTGCTCGGTCCGGCTCCGAGAACTGCCCGGTCCACCTGGCCTCCGGGCCTCCACGGGGCTTCCTCCCGGGCCCTCCTCCGCGGCGACCCCCCGGGCACACAGGGTGGCCTGGCCCCCGCGAGGGTCGCACCTCGGCCCGGCCCGCGGCCCCGCCCCCGCCCCCGCCCGATCACGCGGGCCGGGCCGCTCTGGGCATGCTCAGAGCCCCGGCAGGTGGGGCCGCCGCGGGACGCCAGGTCCGGCCCGGAGCGAGGGGCGGGGGCCCGGGAGTGGGCGGGGGCCGCCGGGTCGGTGGGAACCTGCGCCGAGCGGCCGGGATGAGCCATGGCATCGGTCAAGGTGGCCGTGAGGGTCCGGCCCCTGAATCGCAGGTGAGTGGGGCCGCCGGGGCCCCCCGCCCCTCCCCCTCCGGCGCACCGTCGGATGCTGCGCGGCCGCTTTCGGACCCCCGCCCCGACTGCGGGGGACAGGCGGGTTCCCGGCACCCCAGGGCCCCGGCGGTGGCCGCTGGGGACCCGGCGGCCTGCAGCACCAGGCGCTTCGCTGCCCCTTTCTCGCCGCCCCGAAAGGAACGCCAGGGCTCCGGCGAAGACACCCACAAACTTTCTCCGAGCCCACTCACGTGGGTTGTTCCCCCCTTGAAATAGATCCAGGGGCCACTGGGGTGAGGGGAGTGAGTGGGGGACTTGGGAGCACCTGGAGCTGTCAGGCGACCCGCTCAGTAGTGCCAAGGTAGAAGTTCGGCCGCTCAGAAAGTTACTTTTTAATCTCCTTCATGAAAGATACCTTCGATTCTCCGAGCGCGAGCGCTAACTTTCCATCAGTGACCCTGCAGTTCTTAACTCTAGGCTAAAGTGTTAGAGCTTTTAAAAAGCGGTGGAAGGAAAATATCAATGACACTTAAGTACAGGTGTTTAAAATTTGCTGATGTTAAGAGCAAGACAAGTTGTAAACACATTTAGAATTTAGTCTTATACAGTTTGACAGAGTAACACTTCTCAGACTTCATTTACTCGAGAAATAATTCAGGCTTCCTTTTCAGTGATCTCTTCATATTCAGCGTTTAGCTGCTTTTGGAAGGGTTACTTTCGGAAGCGGCATTACTTTTTGTTTTTGTTTTGGGCCACACACCTGGAGGTGCTTAAGGCTTCTTCCTGGCTCTGTGCTCAGGGATCACTCCTGGTGGGCTCAGACTCTGTCAGGGATTTAACCGAATGCAAAGCCAAGTACCATAACCCTTGTACTACCTCTGTGGTCCCAGGTTTACTTTTGCACAAATAATTTCACTTTAAAGAATGAAATAGATCTAAATCAGTGTCTTTCAAGATGATAGATACAATTCACTTTTAAAATTGACTTCTCAATCATGTGGTGGCTTTGAACTTAACCCACTTTAAGGCTTTAAGCCTTTCCACTTTTGTCCTATCAGTGTGTGAACAGTTGGTTGCTTTCCACAGCTCACCTTGGTATCAAAAGATCACAACATTAAAAGACTCAGTGTTTTTTGACTTATTTGAATCTGCTTTTCTGCTGTCAAGGAGGGAATTAGTATTCTGGTTAGTAACTGCTAGGAGCCAGGAGTTCAGTGATTTTCAAGTTATTCCCAGATTACTGGACTAAGTCCCAGTGAGGGAGGGACTACCAGTTGACAAGAAGCTTCTAGAATACTGGGCTCTCTGGCAGGAATGTCTAGGCCTGGAGAGAGATGGCAGGAAGCATGTTCAAAAGTCATGGGTTTTCTTTTTCTTTCTGTTTTTGTTTCTTGGGGGGAAAGGGTTGCCTTCAGCAGAGTGGCCTCACAGTTTGGTGCTCAGGCCTAATTACCCAGGGCCAGGGGCTACCAGGACCACCTCAAGGCTTACTCCCTCTTTGCTCAGGGATCACTCCTGGCAGAGGTCAGGTATGCTGGGGGCCAGCCATCGGGGCCTAACAGCAGTGTTTGGAGGCCATGCAGTGTGAGGGGTCAAACTCAGGGCCTTCTGCACGCCAGGTATGTGCTTTACTCCTTTGACTCTATCCTCTCCTCAAAATGCTGTGTGCCATTGAGGACCTAGATTGGTACATTTGTGCTCTGAGCAGAGAATGTTGGTGACATCAGGATCTGGGTAAGAAATAAAGAAGCAGCAGGTATGTCTATACCTGAGGTGGAAATGGGCAGGTGGATTAATATCCTCGGGCAGTTTTCAGGCAGAATTCACAGGATTTGGCCGTTCATTGGGTGGACAAGAAGAGGAAAAATTGAAGAACACATCAAATTTCAGGGCCAGAGAGATTAAAACATTGGGGGTGCTTGACTTCATGTGGCTGACCTGGGTTTGATCCCCGAGTATGGGAGTAAGCCCTGAGTACACCAGTGAACCTCCCCTGTCAGTCAATTGCTCCCCCCCCCCAAAAAAAAATCAACTTTGAAATGAAATAACAAAAAGGTCATTAGTTTGTGAATTCAAGTTAATTTGGGAAAGGCAGAATTGCCATCTGGGATAAACAAACTATGGCAAAGCTTAGACAAGTCTAAGAAAGCAGCAGGAAGATCAGCTTTTATTAGCTCTGGTAGAAAATTGGAAAGGACTGTTGGAATTAAAATTCATTAAGGATTTGCGGTGTTGGATTGTCATTGGTGCACGTGTGGACAGCGTATTCCTAGGCAAAGAGCTTTCTGACAAACCCTGTTGAGTGGCAGGTGTGTGGGATTCCTTCTTTTCTCACTTCCCATCTCCGTTTTGAAACAAGTCCTTTCTTCTGTCTTAACAGGTAGAGTCAGTGAGGGTGCGTGCTCTGAAATGCAGAGGGGCAGAGAGGGTGGGCGCTGATGCCATCGCGTGTTCCTTTTAGATGTGAGACACAGCAATGGCAGGTCCAAGCACATTGTGCAGAGCAGAGTGAGTTCAACCCACCTGTTGATTTGTCTTCGAAACTGTGGGAACTTTTTTTTTTGGTTGGTGTTTGTAGATGGTGAGAAACATAAAAAGAAAAATACAAATGTCTTCTTCAACCTGAAATTGTTGACCTAACTCATAAGGGAAGCCATGCAAAACAATAAAAAGAGTAAGTGAAGTCGACCTAAGCTGCTTGTTAAATAATTTTCACAAAAAGTTGCTAAATGAGATTCATCATTTTATATAGATTCAAAAAGAAAACTTTTTTTCTTGTGATGAGAATTCCTAGGACTAACACCATTAATGGCTTTTAAATATCCTTATAGCCATTACTAATAAAAGCTGTACGTTGCATTCCCAGTACTTATAATAACTGCATTTTTGCCTTTCACCATTTTCCTCCTGTTCCATCTCTCCCTACTCCCAATCTCTGGTAACCACAGTCTAACCTCATTTTCTGTGAATTTCATTTGTTCTTCAGATTTTGCGCATAACTGTTGTCATAATAGCATTTGTCTTTCCCTACCTGACTTGTTTTATGCAGCACAATATCCTTAATGTCCTCAAGGTGCCAGCATGTCAAAAATGGAAGAATTTTGGGGGACCAAGCAATGATATAGCAGGTAGGGCATTTTGTCTTGCATGTGGCCATGCAGGGTTCTATCCCTGGCACTGCATATGGTCCCCTGAGCCTGCCAGGAGGTGATCCTTGAACACAGAACCAAGAGTAAACCCTGAGCACTATTGGGTGTGGCCCCATACTTCCCCCCACAAAAAAAGATGGAAGAATTTTTATTCTTGTGATTGAATAATATTTCATTGTATATGGTAATTTTTGGTTAGCAAAGAACTGTGTATACACTGGAGGTCCCTATATATCGTCTGTGTGATCATTCTATCTGTATCTCTCTCTCTGTGATTGTGTGTGTGTGTGTGTGTGTTTGTGTGTATAAATACTGTCAAATAACAACACCTAATAACACATTTCTCAGTATGGATTTATCTTAAAGTATTGCATGTGCGTGTATAATAATTTACTTATTTTTCTATGTGCAGCAGCCAAGGATACTTAGGTTTTTTCCATTCCTCAGTTATTATAAATAATGCTGCAATGAAGGTGGAGTAGAGTGCAGATACAATTTTTTAAATGTCGATTTTTAGAGTAGAAGAGCTTTAGGCAAATAAGCAGCAATCAATAAGAAGGAAAGGCCTCAAGTGATTGCAGAGTGAGGATGGGTATGTCAGCTAGGCTCTTAAAACATGGGGCAGAGGTGGTGAGATTCTGAATTTCTAATCGGAGCCTGAGGATTAACCAGCCAGTCACCTTTGCACGAAAACACTCAAAGGCTTGGCTCAGACCAAGATGTGCTTTGTTTGTTTTTACTATCTTGTGGCTTTGGGTTATGTGGGAAAACTAGCAGTTTCAAACTTGAAAGATCCATTGTGTTGTAGGATATAATAGCAGCTACTTTTATTGAGAGTTTTCTGTGTCCCAGAAGTACAAAATCTAACAATCTTTGCAATAGTCTTGGTAGATGGAGACTGTTACTGTTATAGTATTTTATTGTTAACATAGTAAAATACAGGTACATTTCTCAAAGTCAGCTTCTTAGGCTGCTAAATTAAAAAAAGTTAGCCTTTTAAAAATTCGTAAACTCCTAGCAGTTCATTCATTCATTCATTCATAATTTTTATGGGCAAAAATTGAACACAATTGTCTATTAATTTAACACGCGTTTTTGTCATTTTTTTTATTGTTCTCCTGACTAGTTTTTTATGACTGGATTCATTTTTCACAGTTGTATAAGGTATGGAATTTTACCTCTGAAGAGATAGCTGAATAATAATAACAACAACAACAACAATAATAATATTTGTCCTTTTAAGTCGACTTCACTGTTTTTTGTGTGTGTGTGAGGATGGGGATTTTGGGCCATACCTGGCTGTGCTCGGGGCTAACTTGTGGCTCTGTGCTCAGTGATCACTCCTGGCATTGTTCAGGGGTCCTGATGTAGTGCTGGGCATCAAACTAAGATGGACTGTGTGTAGTGCAAGTGCAATAATCCCTGTGCTGTCTCTCTGATTCTTCACTTGCTTTCAGAATCTCTTAAAGCAAACACTGGCTGAAGTTCCATGGCGATGCTTCCTTTTGAGGTGCTTCTGACTCTTTCAGTGCTCACAGGGTCAGTGTCTGGGGTTGTATTGCTTGGCTTCTGCTTAGGCTTTCATTTGTAAGATGGGCCAATTTGAACAAGAGAATTTATTGTTTTGATTTTGAGTTTTGGCATTTGTAAGATTGTAAAATGGTGGTGATAATTGTGATATATTGTAGATTGTGTGGTATTTTTTTCCCCAAGTAATTTATTTTTCCAATGACTCAATAAGAAACACACTTTATGCAGAAACTTTATAGATATGTAAAAAGTGGTTGGTGGCTGCAATGGGTAGTGGTGTTGATGAAATAGTGCCAACGGCTAGAGCACATGATTTGTGTG